AAGTTTATGTGGGTGGTGAAGGTGAGCTTGGAGTCAAAATAAACACCCAAGTCTTTAACATCAGTAATTGATTTTAGCGGGACATTCGAAAAACAGTAAGAGGTTGGAACAATACTAATCACTTTTGCAAAAGAGGTATAATGACATTTACCAATATTGAGGGACAAACGATTATGCGCACACCAACAGTAAAAATTATCAAGCTCACCCTGGAGAATCAATGAGTCTTCTCTATTTTTAATTTCATAGTATATCTTCAGGTCATCCGCATATAGAAGAAACTTACACTTTGAGAAACAGGAAGATATATCATTAATAAAGATAACAAATAATAACGGACCTAAGACACTACCCTGGGGAACACCAGAGGAGGAGACAAAAGAATAAGACGATACATTATCAAAACGAACAACACAGCGTCTGTTATACAGATAGGATGTGATCCACTTCAGAAACTCTGAATGAAAGCCCAGGCCTTCAAGTTTAGCTATCAATATTCGATGAGGCACCCTGTCAAAAGCCTTAGAGAAATCGGTATATATAGCGTCAATTTGGAATCCCTTTTGAAAGGTTTCCAAACAGTCCTCTGTAAAAGCAGCTAAATTGGTTAACGTAGATCTGCCCGGCACGAACCCATGTTGGTTGGGACATAATAAATGTTTAACAGCAAAGTAAATTTTATCTTTTCCTATGGACTCAAACAGTTTTGAGACAGTGGTAAGCTTAGAAATCGGCCTATAATTCTCAATACAATTTTTGTTACCACTTTTAAGAATTGGCGTAATAAAAGTCAATTTCCAGTCATCGAGGAAAACTCCGGCAGATAGAGACATGTTAAAAATGTGCCTCAAAGGCGCAATTAGTGAAGGACAACTGTTAAATAAAATAACCGAGACGCCGTCTACATCAGTGTTAGTGGATAGTTTAAGCTGGTTAATGCCATTAGCTACATCCTCGTCTGTCAACTTTAATTTCCCGAAGTTAATGGGAGTATCTAAATTTGACAAAAGATCTTCAGGAATAAAATCATTATCAGAATTACCTGAAATAAAGTTGGAAGAGAAAAAATCAGCAAAAAGATTAACAGCTTCGGAGATGGAGTTGGCTGACACCCCGTTAAGATGGACCGATGCAGGTATATTAGAGCAATTTTTCTTTGATTTAATATAACTCCAGAAGAACTTGGGATTAGATTTAATATCGCTTTCTACGCCGCGAATATAATTCCTATACAAAGATTTATTGAGCCTGTTAAATTCAGCTCTATAAAACACCTAACGCTCACTCAAATTAACATCGTTGGAATGCTTTTGTCTTTTGTAGAACTTATTCTTCTTATTCCTTATACGTTTGAGTTCTTTAGTAAACCATGGACGCTTAGCGGTTTTCGAATTAAGAATTGGGATGTGACCCACACAAATATCACAAAGTTTAGACTTAAAAATATCGTAGCAACCAGTTACATCCACATTTCCAAAGAGCTGGGACCAATCCAAATCAAACAAATTATTCAATTCAGCAAAATTACAACAAGAGTAGTTAAAAGCAACCGTCTGACTAGCAGTCGGTAATTCAAGATATTGGTAAAATTCAAACTCCAAAACCATAGGGCTATGATGCTGATTTGGAGGGGAGATGTAACTGGCCGCATGACATAGCTTGAAATTTTTATTAGAGCTAATAAATATTAAATCTAAAATTCGGTTTAACTCATTAAAAAAACCATTGATTTGAAATAATTCAATACATAATAAATTATCAATTAAATATGATTCAGAAAAAGTAGTAACATTTGATGGGGTGAGGAAAATATTGTTATAAATAAAGCTCCAGGAAATATTACATAAATTAAAGTCACCTATAACACAAAGTTGGCTGTTTCCAATTTTCTCGTGGAGTGCCAGTATATTGTCAACATGTGCCTTGTATATGACATCACATCTACCCGGCGGAATGTAGGACACACAAATGTACAGCACACCACAGGTGCCATGTAATTTTACACAAAGCTGATCCAACAGGGAGTTGGCATCTAGCAGCGGATAACAAGAAGCTCGAAGATATCTGCGCGCAGCTATCAGTACACCACCACCCCTACTAACACCAGTTTTAGCAAAATCTCTGTCTTTGCGAAAAACGTCAAAGAGAGCTAAATTAAAGAACTCCGCATCGAAAAAGTTAGCATTCAGCCAGGTTTCTGTCAGAACGAAGCAGCCATAATCCAATTGTGAGCTGAGAATGTAGACAGATTCGGATTTTGTCCTGAGTCCCGAAGTATTTTGGTGATAGATACTTATTTTCCGATCACCAGAGGTGGAATGACTTTCTCTTCTTGGGCTGCGGTTGGGCATCTTTTTGAAAAAAATCAAAAGGCCGGACAGCGGAGGGCCAAATATCCGATGACAGAATTTTTGAGTAGTCAGATTCTGAAACTCCAAGCTTGAAATTAATGTGCTTAATAGTTTCCAAATCAGAATCCTTTTTGACCAGTTTATAGCATACAATTGTCTTCTTATCGATAGCTGCATATTTAGCCACATAGGCAATGATGTCATCAGTCCTTACAGTAGGCAAAAACGATGATAAGTGCAACCATTCGCGGCGAACAACAACTCCCAGCTCCGAGTTCTCATTTGACCCAAATACACACCGCCTATGTCTCTTATGAGTACGCTTTTTATCCATAACGGACCACTGTGCATTATTTGCTTGCGCATTGTTAGTTGCGTTTTTCGCTTGTGCGTTGCTCAACCTAGCATTATTCGCCAAAGCCGCAGCAGCGGCATACGTAGGCACAGCGTTAGCAGGGCCAGCAGTTGGTGAACAGGGAGAAGTACAAGCAGGCGGAAGAGATGAAGCAGAAAAACCGATGTTATTACCAGGAGTAGTTGGCGAGCGAGTAAAAGCAACAGCAGCAGAAAAACCGGTATTACTACTAGGAGTAGTTGAAAAACCGGTATTAGTATCAACTACATCAAGAGCGGTATAACCAGTATTTATACCCGGCGCATCAGAAACACAATGCATTTCAGAACTTTTTCGTACTGCAACAGCATCATTAGATGGCGCAGTGAAAGCGCGCTTTGGCAATTTACCAGGCTGAGCAACAACACTATCACTAGCTTTTGCTTGCGAACGCGTCGTTCTTTTGTTTCCACTAGTAGCAGGAGCCGGCGAAATAGAATTATCATTTTCTGGTTCAATTAATGCGATAAAAATGCTTTTTAATTTTTCCAAATCCGAAATCGCGTTTAAGATTTTATCTTTCGGCCCACAATGGGCCGTACAATTAGTACATACAGGCAGGTTCTGCAATTCACTTCCGAGTGAATTTGAACCAAATTCACTTTGAATCCGACATTTGGTGTTCTGTGTTTGACTTTCCGAGTTTCATTTCCACATTTTTTTCCAAAATGAGTTCCGAGTGAATTTGGATGTTCTGATAAACGAAAAAAATCTTCGGATTTCATTCACTTCGTTTCAAGTTTGTGGATTTTATGCATACACACAAATATTGAATTAGCGGTTGTGATCGAGACGAAGATGTGAGTAAATTTAAAATTATTAATGAGATATATTAATAAAAAAACTAATAAGAATAATAGAGTAACATATTTTACATAGATTAATGGTTTCAGGGGAAAACATAAGAATTCTAAACAGGAGGCGGTCCTTCTTAAATTTATGGAAGACCACAAGGACATTGCACGGGGCTACGTAAAGGGAGACAAAACGAAAGTAGACGCACTGTGGAAGGAGTTAGTCGTCGAACTGAACGAGCATGGTCCTCCCCAAAAGGATGTTTCTGGCTGGAAAAAAGTAAAAAAATATAAAGAAGACGTTCACTTTTTGATGCAAAAATGCGAAACGCAAAAATTAGCGTTTGTTTTGTTGCTTTGCTGTGCGTTTGTGCGAAACGACGCCATAACGGTGATAAATGTTTGTTATAAAAAACTGTCGATTTTCCCACTTTCGCTCAAACGCACACAGTTTCGCATCAAAGAGTGAACTCTAGTATACAAATTGGCTATACAAAATATTTTGTAATCGAAATATAACAGGTTTGGATGGATTGGAAGGCGTTCGTCAGGAAAAAAGTAGCGCACAATAACTCGGAAGCCAGAGCAACTGGTGGAGGACCATTTAACAAGCATGTCCTTACACCAACAGAAGATGCTATAGCCCAAATGTGCGGAATTTACACTGTGGTGGAGGGCATTTCAGGCACACAAGACTTTGGTGTGTCTTCTGAAAGAAACCAGGAGGCAACCTCCGAAAGCTCCGACGAAGATGCTGTGCCATCTACAAGCCGTGCAGCTATAGCAGCGCGATCCCGTCGACGGGAACCTATGGTGACTGATGCTCTAAAGTCGAACATTAGCGAGCAAACAAATGCAATGAATTCCTTAGCAGAAGGACTTACAGAAAATGTGGAGGCCACAAAGAATGTAAGTAGTGGCATTAGCAGCCTTTGTGAAGCCGTTAAACAAATGACAGCTGCGTTAGTGGAAGGGAATGTTGAAAACAAGCGTCACCATGCTCAAATGGAAAGACTACGCCAAGAAGAAAACGAGCTAAAACTTAAGGAAATTGAAATAGAAGAACTTAAGATGTATTTAAAAAACCATTCTAAACGAAGTAGCTAATATGAACTTTAGTTACTGAAATGAATTAAATTTTAGTTTGCATTACATGTTTAAGTTAATAGTTTCAAGTGAATAGTTTCAAGTGAATTGTTTTAAGTTAAAAATTTTCTGTAAATAATTTTATTTAAGTAGTCTTCTGTAAATAGTTTTCTGTAAATAATTTTCTGTAGATACATATTTTTCAATGTACATATTAATGTATGTTATGGTTTAAATATGAATCTGAACTTTATTTTAATAAATAGTGAATTGCATTTCATTTTATTGAAGTGAATATAAATATGAGCATTTTATTCAATAAGGCGCTTTAAACTTTCAGGAAATTGTATCACTTTAAATATTCAAATTAATTTTTCATGAATTCGAGAATAGGCGCGTCGCGATATCCTCCCTTATCATTATAGCCTCGCCATCAAGAGTAGCTTCGTTTATTATTCCTTCAACAACAGGTTCATTATCCTCGTCCATAGGGCCTGCCTCAACTAACTCCTGCACTTTATAATGTCTACAGATATTATGTAATGCACAGCAAACATTTGTAATTTGCACCACCTTTTCAGGTTGATATTGTAGAGATCGACAAAGGCACCTAAATCGGCTTTTTAGAACCCCTATTGTTCTTTCTACAACATTACGCGCTGAAGAATGCTTCAGATTAAATATGTGCTGTGCTGTCCCAACATTTGGGTCTCTAAATGGGGTTAACAAAAAAGGTTGAAGTGCGTACCCAGCATCACCTAAAAGCCACAAGCCGCGTTCACCGTTATCGTAATTGCGTTTGAAGTAATCATGAGCTCTGCTGACACTCCATATCAAAGCATCATGACTTGAACCAGGACGACGAGCGTCAACTGCTCTGATTACCATATTGTAATCACATATCTACAAAAATATATTCAAAAAATTGAGTTAATTCGAGCATAATTTTTGTCAATAAGTTAAATAAGCACTTACAATCATTGCATTGATGCTAAAATAACCTTTTCTGTTGTAAAATAGGCTGGAATCTTTATGCGGCTTGGTTATTTTAATATGCGTCCCGTCTACGCAACCAATGACTCCGGGTATACCAAAGTTTTGATGAAAATGCTGTTTCGATTTCGTTTTCTCGTCTTCGGTCATGCTTAAATTTATCCACCGGGAACATATATATTTTTCTAAAATCTTTAGCACGCGTGTAATTACTTTTGCAACCGTACTACGACCCATTGCAATATAACTATCTTTTCCCACAGCCTTTTGGAAGCCACCTTCCTCCAAAAACTTTAGTGTGGCCGCCAATTGCAGTTGCGCCGGAATGGATGTTTCTTTTAAATGTAGAACAACAACGTCCAATAACATGTTAAATGCACTTTTGTTGACCCGGTAGCTGGATACGAACCTATTTAAATTTTTTGTACAAAATTGCCCCTAAGAGCGAACACCAAGTACTTACACCAATTCAGAGACATCTAAAGGATTGGAATGATCGCGCAGAATCCTTCTATTAAGGGTTTCTTCTGCAAGTCTCTCATTTTCTACTAAAATAGCCGCAAACGTAGTTAATGCACTCATTTTTCGTTTTTTTATCCAAAAATTTATTATTTGTTTTGGTTAAATTGACAGCTATCAGCTGTTAAGTTCATCTTTACTTATTCATCACCAGCTTTAGTTCATTTTCAGCGTGAATCAAAAACCGAGTTCTAAAATGAACTAAAAATTCGGTTTTCAGAACACCAAAATCAAATTCACTCGGTTATAGATTCATATTCACTTTCACTCGGATTCCAGAACCTGCCTGATAAAGACATTATTCCGAGATAAATGAAAATAAACACAGAGCGATAGAAAACACGACCGAACTATTCTGCAGTCACAGTCACTTTATATACATATATTATTATTGCTCTTCAAATAAATGTTAATATTAAAATTTTCACTTTGATTAGACAAAACTGCTCTAAGCAATAGGTGTAGGTTGAAAGTGTGCACAAAAGAAATGTTCGCATATTTATTCTGAATCATACTGCTGATAAAACTTTTTCACGAAAAATGACTGTTTTAAGATTTATAAACAAATAAATAAAAGTCTATTTGTTTATGAGTTTTTATACTGTAGGTTCTGTGGGCCTCCGATTTCCTCACTACATGTGCTCTTTTTTTGTTTGAATGCGCTATTTTGTATCCTCAAGCTGTCCGAAAATGCGCGGGGAGCGACTTTCGAAAATAGTAGACCACCTCTATTTCATATATCGTCGCTTAAAGTACAAAACCACGTATCGTCATTCTGCAAAACCACGTAACTGACAATCCTTATCCATTCGTCCTGAAATATACTAGCCAGGATTGCGATTGCTTTATAAACAAGTAATTTTTAGCAAAAAAAAAACCGACTTAAAAAAAATATATATATATCTATATATTTCATGATTCAATGATCGGATCTAAACCAAATTAGTATGGGACCACCTCTGACACACTACCTTTCCGTTGCAAAAAGAATTATTGAATCGGTTGACGCGGTCCAAAGTTATGCGGTAACATACATAAAAAAAAAAAGTAAAAAAAAAAATAAAAAAAATATTCCGACGAACTGATAACCTCCTCCTTTTTTGGAAGTCGGTTAAAAAGCGAACCATTTTGAAATACGAGTGTTTTTATCTCTATGTATATCGTCGTTGAAAGTATAAAACCGCGTATCAACAAAACGCAAAACCAGGTATTAAGATAATGCAAAACCGCGTATGTGAGTCTGCATAAATTATTTTCTAGAGAGTAAAAACACTCATATTTCAAAATGGTTCTCTTTTTTATAAAGCAATCGCATTTCTGGCTAGTATATTTCAGGACGAATGGATGAGGATTGAGCCAAATTCTTGTGTGAGCAAATCCAATTTTTGGCAGCAAATGTCAGTTACGCGGTTTTGCAGAATTACGATACGCGGTTTTGTACTTTAAACGACGATATGTATGTACATGTACGTGTAAATGCACATACAAACTTACGTAGTTTATACGAATGTTACATTAAATCCCGCACTCTCATTGTCCTTTATGAATTACCGTTACACTTTCCATTGCTCCATCCACTATTTTGAGCTTGCTTTGCTGCTACTAAATCATGAATTATTAACTTGTTTTTCAAACAATAAATTTTCGCATTAGCTGGAATGGCTTTCCAACGCTGGACCATTTGCATACACATACAATGTACTAGGCAGGCGCTAGAATGGTGAGAAGTGGCTATGCCACATTTTTACGCTGCAGATGATAAGAACCATTTTATTGTATTCGGTGGCTCATAATGGGGAATTTGTGCTTTTCATTCAGTTTTCTATAAATTTATGACTTTCTACAGCGAAATTATGAATTGTAAATGGCAAGTCCTGAAATGGTAATACATGCACATGTACATTTACAGGGTTACCAGGAAAGTCGCCCTAGATATTTATGGACAGTATTATTTAGATCATTTCTGATTAATTTGGTTATATGTATGACATGATGTCCAAAACTTAACTGTTTTCGAAATATTGGAATTTAAAGATTATTGTAAAAAAAAATGCTGCTGTACGTCCACTTTTTGCTGTTGTTATTTAAAAGGTACGGAGGATAAAATTTCGTAAGAAGGTAAAAATTATAGAAATACAAAAACTTAACAATTTACACTTTTTGAAGTGAAACTTCTTAGGTTGCAGTATCGCAAAAATGGTTAGTGAAATTTTTAAAACTAACAAGTAAGAAAGTCTAAGTTCGAGCGGAGCCGAACATTAAAAACCCGGCACAAGTATTAAATATATGTTTTCCAACTGAAAAGTACCGGTACATGGTAAGCTGGCGTGATTTCACCCCTATTTTAAACATCTTTGATAGAACGTTTAGTTAGACATAATGAGATAAACTTATATAGTCATATGTGGGTGATAACACGCCCATTTTCCAAAATTTCAAAAAATGTTACTTCTTTTCAAGGGATTGTTTTTAGTATCAAACTTTAGTAAGTTAGCGTCCCTAAAGTTCCAAATATTGACGTTTCAAGCATTTCTGAAATTTACCGTTATATGAAAAGCGGCCGTAATTTTAGTCCGATTTCAATAATTTTCAACGTTTTGCTTTTATGTGGCAAGCACAATAACCATACCAAGTTTGGTACAAATTGGTAGAACGGTTACCGAGATACATATATGTGATCATAAGTAGGCGGTGCTACGCCCATTTTCCAAAATTTTATCATAAGCGATTTTATCATAAGTGCATAAAGAATTGTTGCAAGCATCAATTTTGAATAAATTAGCTTGAATATTTACTGATTTATCGAATATTTCGTATTTCTCTAAATTACCGTTACATGGGATGTGGGCGTGGTTATTGTCCGATTTTAAAAAAAATTTCAGCCATTTGGTATGTTGTACCAAGGCCAACAACTTTGCCAAGTTTGGAAGAAAGTTATTGTAAGTATCAATTTTGAGTGAATAATCTTCAGTAGTTAATAAAATATCTCAGTTTTCGTATTTCTGAAAATTACCGTTATATGGGAGGTGGGCGTGGTTATTGTCCGATTTTGTCCATTTTCAATACCATCCGTCCTACGCCCGAAAGAAGTGCATGTACCAATTTTCGTTAAGATACCTCAATTTTCACTCGAGTTATCGAGTGCACAAACGGACGGACGGACAGACAGTGACCGCTTAATCGATTTCTCTTTTAATTCTGATTATTTTTGTATACATTTGCCTATATCTATCTCGTTTCGTTTTTCCTGTTACAAATAACCGTTATGTGAATAAAGTTATAATACTCTTGTGCACAAGTGCGCTCGGGTATAAAAATGTTACATGAGTAAGAAGGAAGATGTAGTATACAGAAAGATTAAAAAGTAAGAAAACGATGTATGCACAGCGATACATAGCGATAGCACAAACATCTTCAACGTGCATACATAGGAGTAAATTTTTAAGCGGCACTCAACAATTTTAATTTAGTAAATCAGAAAATCACAACGATGCCTAGAGTCGTAGGTCTTCCCGCTGAGCTATTTCAGTATTGTACGAGAAGTGAGAATTTGTGCATTTATCGACAGAGCGCAACTAGCACACCAAAAGTTTCAATTGCCCCTCTCTGCAGCCGTTTTTTTGCATAAGCTTTTTCGAGATTCCTCACCGATAGCCTCACACCGACAGTACAAAGTTTTCTTGCACAGCAAGAAAAAATATTTATTTGCTTTGCTTACCATTCGAAGTTTATACGATTGACAAACGGGCTCACTTATTTGCATAAACAGCCTTTATTTGCTTTAACTCATGCATTTTCCTCTTTAAAATGCGCATAAGCAGCCAAACAAATACACGAATGTTTTTGGGAATTAACTCGGATCCGGGGAATTTTCAATGACAACACTGGTAAAAACGGCCAGCTGTTGTCTTTTGTACAAGTAAGCAAACAAAGCAGGCGAGTTTGACCAAGGCATAACAAGGTAAAAGTGATTTCGACATTTCTCTTTTTTTAACTTCGACTGAAATTTCAACTCTTAACCCTATACAATTAAAAATTTAAATTTTTTGAATTAAAAATTTTAATTTTTTTAATTTAATTTTCAATTGTGAGCTGCGCGACTGATTTTAAATACACAATAAAATGAAAAGGACTTACGAGCGGTTCGCTGTGTGTGGCAAGAGCCAGGACATCAAACTTTATTATCAAGTGAAGCGACAACGATGGGCAAATAGCTGCAGTGGTCACGGCACTTTTTCTCTAATTTTTTCCATTCTTTTTCTCTGTGACCAACATGCTGTTCATGGGCTCAGTTGTATTTTTTTGGTAAATTTTTTTTACTAAATTTTACATTTGTAAAACAGTATATGTATGTGTATAAAAATGTCAAAGACAAACCAAACAAGGTTTTCTAGCATTATTATTATTCTGCATAAGTACTACTTTGTATACACCTGCAACAAAAATGTACCATTCTGCTACTAAAAGGAGAAATAGTATGAAAAATACTCCATTTCGTTGCTAAAAGAAACAAATAATAAATTGTATTCACAAGCCAACCCTTTTTTGATCAGTGATTCGTCTCAGCCGGCTGGTAAAATTTTAACCGATTGGCCATGCGGTTCAGTTCTCTCGCTCGCTCTCAATTATTT